GTGTACTATGTTAGCCTTGACAAAAGGACATAAAGGATAGGAGGCTATGAAGGAAGGGTTCTCATGCAGGGGTGTCTGACAAGGATCACAGAAGACTGGCAGAACCACAGGCTTGTCCTCAGCCAATTTAAACCTGATTTCACAGACCCACAAATCGTCCCACCCTTCCACTAGACAACTGAACTGTTTTTCATTGGTATGTTTTCTATCCCCAATATGTATGTCTCTGATTGGTCTAAATAATGCAATGTGGCATTCAGAAGCCCTAACTTTACCCAGAGACCCCTAAGTGACACAGCTAAAGAGATCTCTGTACTAAACAGAGTTATCACCAATGAGAAAGCTATTTTACAAAAATCAGGTGGCAGTTGGTAGTTAGTAGTTTAAGCATTTCACAAGGGGACACCTGTGACATTATAAAAACTAAAAGTGTATATGTTTCTGACAATACCGCTAATGTTTCTAGAGAGTTTAATGGCCTCCATTCAAAAGGCACGCTAGACCCTACCATAAGCTTGAATATGTTACTGTCTTCATGTATTTAAGAGACAGCTGAAATACCAATTATTATGCCCTAAGTGTTTACAAAAAATAATGCTTTGCTGTCCTCTGTATTGTTGTCATAGTATGACCTCTGTTCTATGTACACCATATTCAGTCCCCAGGTAACTGGTACCATGGACCTCTACTGCCCTGATTCTGAATACCCATAACTGTCCCGGCCCCACTAGTTGAATAAAAAGGACCATGGATCACTCTCCCCCAACTTGGCCCTTTCTAACCAGAAAGCCGTCAGAATTAGTTAATACCCAATACCCTAAAAGAATTTAGGGACCCTACATCCTTGGTGTGGGAATGATAAGGGGCAGGTGTGGTGGGAACACAAATTTAAGGGAATAATTCTATCAAATGGGCCCACTTTCCTGACTCCACATGCTTTCTTTTCCAAGGAGCTATTTACCAGCAGACCTGCCTAGCATAATGGACAAGATAGGTTATATTCCTCAGCAAAATACCTGTCATCTGCAGGAGAAATGCAGGCCTGAAAAAATGCCAATAAAAGGACACAAGTTATTCTGAAGTGGGGGGACTTGTGTGGCCCTTACACAGACCAGGTCTCAGAACTCAGGGAATAAAGGATAATTTCCTATAAGAACACATTCCAATTAAACCTAGTCAGCATGTGCCGAAGTGGCCTAGAGTGTTCATGGCAATGGGGACTTGAAAGTCAGAGGTAGACCTCCATCAGTCAAAAGTCAAGAGATGAACCTGGGTAAGGCTGTCTGGAAATTTCTGCGGGAACCCCCCAAAAACTGGAAAGCAGGAATAAAAGG